CTGCGCCACTGCCTCGCCCAGTATTAATTAACAAATTATCAATTAAAATAATGAGTAAAATGTAAGGTTACACTGTATTGTGACTTATCACCAGTAAAATAACCAGCCTTTGTATTTAATGTATATATTTTCTTCCAATTTATCGCATCCAAACTAAATTGTGGCCAGTTTTACTTATTATACTGTGCTTTGACTGGCTATGTAGTTCAAAAGCAAAATTGTTAGCTATAGTATTGAAAAAATCTAATTCACAATGCAAAACCCTGGCCCTGCAGTTATCTCTCTCTGAAAAAAAAAATCTTATAGCCTATAGCCTACTCGTTTCAGTTTAGGCTATGGGACTAAATTTTTTTTATACTTACACTATTTTATAAAAAACTATCATTTAATCTTATTATAAATTAGCTTATATATATATTTATTTATTTGTTAAAAGTGACACGATTCTCCCCAGCTGTTCTTTTTAGGCTTACAGGACCTTGTCACAACAATGAACAGAATAACAACAACCTGCTAATAATAATAATAATAATAAATTATTATTATTATTATTATTATTATGGTAATATTTGATTACCTGCCACTATAAGCAAAACCTTAAAATAGGTGTCATTATGTCCCGGTTTGCATATCTCTTACTGGCTTTTATAAAATTAAGTAAATGCACGAGATGAGCCGCAATTCTGTTTCCCTCTAACATACAAACTTTTATTTTATATATGAAAGACAATTGCAGCACACCTTGAGTGCATGCATATGTTTTTTTTTTATATATAACTGCCAGAAACCATTTTGAGGTTGTGCCTATAGGCAGTTGGTCAAATAATAACAATAAGGCTATTAATAAAGCCAGTTATTCTGTTCATGGCTGTGACAACATCCTGAAAGCCTAAAAAGAAAAGCTGGTGGGAATTGTGTTGGTTTTAACAAATGAATAAATTAATAAGCTAATTTATAATATGCTTAAACCATCTTTTTTTTTTATTAGCCACACTTTATTCTGTGTGTGTGGTAGTTATGACCCAGATGTGTAGCCAATGAAACAAAATTCCTAAACATTAAAATGTAAGGTTTAGAAAATTAAAGTATAGAAAATAAAATTCCCAGGGAGAGACAGTACTGTTACTGCAGACCAGGGTTTTGTTGCATTGTAAATTATATTTTTCCACACTATAGGCTATGCAGTGCAACAACTAACAATTTTTCTTTTAAAATAAATAGCCAGTCAAAGCATGGCACATTCCAGTATTATGATATTAGCTTATAATAATAATTGTCAGGAATCCTTCTGGACAATCAGATTCATTCACTGCACCTGCACAGCCCCAATCACCAGACCAATCACCAATCACCTTCTCCTGTTGCTCATCATCGCTCACACTACATAACCCTGTAAGCCTGGAACAATCACTCATTTATGGTCTGATTTATTTGTTATTACCCAGACTCATTTCTCTACAGTGTGACAGCATTTACCTGATAATGTAGCCTGCCTGCCTGCTCACCAGTTTGTTATCCTGTCTGTTATCTTGTCCTGTGAATCCTGTACGGTGTTTACCTCCACTGGCATCATCTTGTTTCAGTTACAACCCGAAGTTAAGTTCTGTTTGTTTGTTTTCTTTTTGTTGGTATTGATGTTATTTCTTTTCTGAACAACCTCAAAATTGTTTAAAGTATCATTAAATATCCATTCTCTGTTAATCTGCCTTTGTCTTCTCTCTGATCCATAATAATAGTAATAATAATAATAGTAGTAGTAGTAGTAGTATTGTTTATTATAGTTATTTATAATAATATTAGACATTTGTTTGGACGTGCTCTTTTCAAGCAGCATTTTTTTTTTTAATTCTGCAGGCTGTTTGCTCTGGCAGTTGGTCAAATATTTGTTAGCTAGCCTATCATTTAAAAAGCAGAGTTATTCTGCAATCAGGTTATGTGCTCCATCAGGCACAATCTTAATAGTATCTTGTCGTGTGCTATGCCACAGTTTTCTTT